TAGATAAAAAGAGCATTACAGTAGCTCAAGACGGTCGAAATATTGACAGTGCGCACGTGCTATTTGAAATTTGCCCCCATGTTGCAATTTTTCACTTTTGTTACAAATTTGCACTTGTGTTACAACAAAAATGAACTCGTCTCAGCAAATCAGAAGTGCACAGTTTTTTCATGTATCCTGTTACATAATTAGAACAATGTCTTTATTTACACATGGTATAATGCAACTTGATACTGACGTTTCATTCCCAGAATTTAAGCTTTTAAAGACTCTATTTTTCACTTTTGAGACATTGGAATCTAACTAGGCAATAACTACCATAAGTACGATATTGATCGCTAAAGTAGAAAGCTCATTGGTGGCTCCAGGTTTAGCTAGATATACGATAAGGCGTATTAGGAAACTAGCCTTGTGGTCCTCAATCATTCAGCTCCTTAGATGCAATAACAAATATATTCTTAACTCTTGTTAAAGCGACATCTTTTCTCAGCTATGCAACAAATCGTTTATTGACCAAGATTGTGCAGTAAATATGGCTGGACATTAACCTTGTTCCGCCGCCCAGTTAGCCCAATGAATAGTGCGCTGGACTGTTGTGCGGGAGGTCGAGGGTTCGTGTCCCGGCCGGACCAACACTCAAGGTCTTAAAATGATTGAGAAGAATTTGCTACCTTTCTATAACATCAAGAAATGGTTAGATATTCTAGTCTTCTCAGACAGGGACGAATAAATGGAAATCCCGTCTCTTGCAGGGTTGGGCGTAGGAGACGTTAATTTCCCACACACGAGATTACTGTGTGATGGAGGTACTCGCATGGGGTGGAATGGGTGGGAAGGTGAGATCGAAATGGACTGAAGCGGCTGCCAGAAGCGCCTAAGAAAATGCCGACGTCTGTTCTCAACCTTAACAACAACTCATTGTAACAATCCTGTAATTCAGCTCCCTGCAAAAGGTTTGAATGAACATCATATTAGTAACATGAAATTAGTATCATTCATTTTTAGGTTTTTATGGACCAAGATCTCGTCTCGGTCCAAAAAGTAAATCCAGAAAAAGAGTAACCTTAGATAGCCTTCTAATTGGAATGCACTGCGCAGATAGTCTAAGGCTTTTTTAATATAATAAATCTAATAGACAATTATCATAAATCTTCCGACTTGCTGAATTTGTTCCTGTTTTCCCTTATGTACTTCATTTTTACATTATTTCATGAAATTCAAATACAAATCTTGCCTGGCCACTGATGAGAAATATACCTACTCACCCCTCCCTTAATGCTGATAATCGACAAATACTGGTCCATGAAATGGTCCACAAAAGGGTCCACAAAATGGTACACAGAATAGTCCAAAAGTATTCTAATGGTCCGAGAATCCATTGGTCCATTCCATAAATGTTTATACCGTAATAGATGATTACTTTGGTCGACAGTTTGGTCACGCGCTGTTCATGCCCATGGCAAGGTGGAGAGAGGTTCCAACTTCTCTCCGCCCAGATCCATTGTCACTGTTTACGGTAGGGAAGAAGGAAGGGGGGAGGGCAAGAAAAGGCCACAGCCTCCCCCGTCCTTACAACGCTCTTCCACCACCTGTACAATTGCAACCTTTGTCTCCCAACTCCCGCCTTTCCATGCTTTAATCCTCAGCTTCAGATTGCTTAAAAAGGACTCTATTAATTTATTAATTGTATATCGATCGTGTTTGATTTAAGCTCTCCGTCGGATGTAGCTTGAAGTCGTAAGCGATACGAAAGCTGGCTTCAAGTAATGATTCATATCACTACGTATGAATTGTTGAACCGTATGGATTTTTGAGCGCTCATTTTAAGCGCTCGGTAGACTGTTATTGCACCTGATTGTTTGCCTGAGTATCACATTTCAAAACTATTCGGTTTTCTTTGATACCTTGAAACCTTTGTTAAACCTCTACAGAAAAGAATAAATTTTTACATACATTGACTGGTACATTTATAAAACAGTAGTATGACTCAGAAATGTGGTTGACGGATTCAGTGATGACAAACGGCTTTTACAAAAACGAGGTCCTTTGTGAACTGATTTTTTATTGCCACACCTAAAAATACTGTTACTGATCAATACAGCCTTCGACGAAAGTTGAATTGGCTAGCCTTGTTCCCTGAAGAATTTCGAGTGCTACGACTGCTGACACTGTTTACACGTTACATGCTACCTCAATCATGACCCACAACGTAACTGACTTTGAGATGTATCGAATTACACCAGGTGAGTACAAAAGATACGTTTTCTCACGTACACAATCTTAACGAAGGAATTATTGGTGTTACAACTTGTCTCGAATCATGACATACTTTAGATGAACAACCCACATACGACGTAAAAAGTATGCGTTGACAGTTGTTGATGTTGCAAGTAGATTTAAGGCTGCTGAACCTCTCTCCTTAAAAAGATTATTTTATGGTCTAAAGAGATTATCACATGTGAGAAAATTTATTGGCAAGGATCATTGAGATGGCCAAATTAAAAGTTCTCCAGGTTGATTCTGTACCTGAATTTATGGGTGATGTAAGAAGAGAGATTGCAAGGTATAATGTGAGGGTACGAAGAGGAAATGTGAATGTTCACAGGGATCAAGGAATAGTTAACCGACTCAATCGAACTTTGAGTGAACGCCTCTTCAATTTCCAACACAGTCTGGAGATGAACTTTAAATCTTCAGAGAGATCGAGAGAATGAGTGAGGAGACTTCCAGAATTTTTTTCAGTTTTGAAGAGTGAAGTGACCAGGTTGACTGAAAGGAAACCTGTCAACACAATCAAAGAAAAAGAAACTGACACAAAGAGTTCAACCACTTAGTGAAGACCCTTTGGCTTGCAGATCAAGTGGCTCGACTCCTCAAAGAATGTGAAATATCTCTATTCACCTGGTGAGTTAGAACGGTGGTCAAAGGCGAGCAATAGATCCTGTGCGGTCTCTGAAGGTCTATCATAGAACAACTGTGAATAAGAACGAGCTAGTTCTCTATTACCTATGGGATGGTCTAAAGCGTGGTCTCGTACGAGAGGAGCTCTTGTCAGTTCTACTTAGAAACTAGTTACCTCCTGAAGGAATTCGTAGATCATAATAGTTCAATATGATAATAAAATTTTGGATGGACACTAGCAATCGTGTTGAATCATGTAAAAAAGACATTAACATGTGTGGGTAAATGACATTTCAATTTTACAGGAGGGAGACTGTTGAAAATTCAAAATGATTAAGAGCCCCGTTTCTAACTACTGACCGACACATTCAGTCGAAGATTGGAAATGAGCGACGGTGAAAAAACTATCCTTCGTTAATTCAGGCACTGAAATGAACGATGAGTACTTCACAGTATGATTCGCAGAATGGATGAAATGAATAAGCTTTGAGATCTATAGTGCGAAGATAAAACTTAAGAAATTCAAGAGCTGTACAATGGACATGGATTACTGAGGGGTCTTACCAGTTCTCCACGGCAGTTAAGCCAATTTTACACAACTCGAAGAAAAGCACGCGTCAGTTGATTAACTTCTGAAATTAGAGCAAACACGAAAGGTGTTTTGATTGGTGATGAGTAAAAGAATAGCTCAGTAAATTTCTACCTTATTCGACAGAGACTTATATTTACCTCCATTCTTCAAGATCGACAACTTTCCGCCTTTTTTTCCTAATTTCATGAGACTAAGCAGGCTTCCTGACTCTTCTTACACTTTCACTAATCCTTCAAATAAATCAAATGAAAAACTGGAAAAATCACGGTAACTGGACATAATTTTGAGTTAATTTAAAATGAAAACCGTAAATGTGCATGCAACTGAATTCTATTGTAGATTCGATGATATTCCGTGGTGAATTAAACTCACATAATATGATTTATACTTATTTTATTCTAACAGCAGCATGCTACCGGGATTGTACCTCAAGGCAAAATGACAACGGTGCTACCTTTATGACTACTTAAACGAAAGTGTAGTGGTTTTAAACTAATTAAAAAGTTGGTTCTGTTCAGAAAAAATTCTATCTTATGCACAATGAAGTAAAAGAAGACGAAACAAACAAACAAAAAGAAACTCAAGCTATTGTGCTTTCCACTCGTTATTACTCGTTTAAATATAATACTAGAAGCTTTGCATCATTAATTGATTTAAATCACATCCATTTGGCATCATGAAACAGAACTAAAATTTTGCGCAGCCTTGCAAAGGAAACCCTGTTTACTGACTATGCCTTGACGAACAAAAATTTTTTTATGATGTCGACAGAGTATAAGTTTTAAGGCTACTCAATATTTTAGGAATGAAGGTAAGCCCAAGCTTGAGAAATACAATTTTTAAGCACTAAATCGCTACATAATATCTTTTAGTATGTCAAATAATGTCATATTCCTACCAGATTTTGAACAGACACTTCTAATCCAGGGCCCAGTTGTTCAAAGGGCGGATAACTCTATCCAACGGATAACTCGCTATCCAGCGGATAAGTGATAGAAAAACGTACTACGCTATCCACCGGATAGAGATTTTATCCAATCGATAGTGTTTTCCACCCCTCGAACAACCGGGGCCAGGTCTAAACATTAAGTAATCAAAGCGTACCGGAAGAGATGTTAGGAATAGGAGAACTTGAAGAAGAAAAAGATTCCTGATTTCCCTTTGTCTTCGAAGCTCCAGAAACAGATATCTTCGTATCATCTTCCTGTTAAGCCCACAAAACCAACTGATACATAT